GCTACAACACGGATACCTGCAATTGTTCAGGGAAAACCCATTCCAGGTAGTGCAGGAAGGTGCTGTTCACTTTTATTTTGCAAGTCCAAGAAAGTCTTTCCATGGCAATTTTTAGGTGGTTCTTCCTTACTTGTGTTCTTAGTTGTGCTTCGGAGCTGAGATTACCCAGCTTTCTTCCAAGGACTTTCTCAGTCCTGCTGAAAGTACATGTCTCTTGTGTGTCCACTCTTCTCTCCAGACGTCAGTGTTGGGAGAAGGCGTAAGACATGGCTTGTTCTCGTGGTCTCTGTGTCCCAGCACAGTGGGCTTTGAAGAGTATCAAGTCCCCCTCAGCTATTCAGTAAATGGGTAAAACGCATTACTTGAAAGGCAGTAGTTCCCAGAAGGCACCAAAGTGGCCTTCAACGTCCAGTTTAGAAGTTAGATGATATTTTTCCCTCAAGCCTACAAAATCCAGCTGGGTTTATGGTGTTATCTTAAGGATTTTTACCTGACCGCGTCACCATTTTGGAACACCTTGGTTGCTGTGCTCTTTACTAGTCAAGATATTTTCTGTGTTCTCTTTACTAGTCAAGATATTTTGGAACACCTTGGTTGCTGTGCTCTTTACTAGTCAAGATATAGCTGCAGTAATTACAACATTACAGTATGTTGTTATTTAACAAGGATGCACTATGTGCACCTTCCAGGGTTGCATTAAGCTCAGTGCTTTTTTCTTTACCATCTACAGCAAGAGTGTGTGGGCTGTCCTTCATGGAACAGACTGGGATATGTGTGGCTCTCCAGGAATGCTATTGCAGGGTCTTTAATCTCTTTGGAGGCAGTACAGTGAGATTTCCTTGTTGGTTAAAGTAGTGATTCAGACAACTGAGATACATAGTCACAGTGTCATCAAGTGTGTTGTGATTGTTGGTAGATGCTGGGGGGACAGAGGAGCACAAATTAACTGTATGGTTTCTGGCTTACAGAAGGAGGCTCAGTTTCAGGAACAGTAAATCTGCAGTAAATTTAGGCCTAGTTTGGTCTGTGAATAAAAGAAAGGTGGCATTTGCCAGATGACTTAGCAAGTACTTACACAGCTAAACATTTCTGTTAGAAAGATTAATAGGAAAGTGTTGATAAATACAAAGCCAGTGTCTGACCTGTAAGTAGAGGACAGGCAAGGTAAAGGAACGGAGCTCATGTTTATCTGAGAACCTCCTTGTCTTTGAATGCTTGATAAATTTTTTGTGGTGCTAGCTTTTGTTTCCTTGGGCCTCCATTAATATTTTTTTTTTAATTCATATTCAGGACAAACAAACCCAAAGAAAATACTGGACTGATACATGAGGAAACTTAAACTCAATTTACACATCCACTCTTATGGCATCCACAGACCTTTTGCAAGTAAGGTGACTGTCAAATGCCACTGATTGAAAATTTCAAGCATTAGCTTTGTAGGGTTCTTTTCCACACAATTTTGACACATAACCTTCCCATGACATTGCTGTTATGCTCTAAATATATTCTAAAATCTTATCTAAAGGCCTCAAATTTTAATAATGTTGAGCTTTCACAGAAGGAAAACACATTCAGTACATTCTTCAGATATTTTGTCTGCAATATTGGAGGTATTTTTCAAATAATATGTGAGCCATGACATTAATTTAATGGAAAATTGTTTTTTCCATCATATGTGGTCTTATCAATATGGGAACAGAAGTGACACTATTTGTCAGACTTAGGTCCTTTTGGCCCACTTTATTCATCTCTAGCTCATTTGTTGGTATTAATTATAGTCAGAGAACATTTATTAACATCTTTAAAAATTATGTATTTGTTGTGTAACAGAAGCTGACCTAGTAATTTCTTCTAGTTAAAAATGCTACATAGGTGAAGCACAAGTACTAAAACTAGAAATACTCTGTTATGCTTAGAGAGGGACTCCTGTAACAAAGTTTGGATGGGAAATTACTTCAGATAATGTTGTTTAGGCTCGATTTCTTTATAAAAGAAGCAGCCAGCCATAACAAATTATTTTCAAGTTCTATTGTTTCGGTATGTACAATTGCAAGAAAGAAACAGAACGTTCTTTGTGTTTTTTCCTTTTATGTTTAGCCTCACAGGTTTACCAAAGTTAGCATTAAGGAACTACTTCTAACAATTTTTATGACCTGTTCTTGAACTAGACACTTCTTATATACATTGTAGTGTGGCTGGCTTTAAACAAGCTTTTCATCTTCTTTATGATGTTTGTGAAGTATACTGCACTTAGCTGACAGTATAATAAAAGCATTTTTGTGAGTCTATTTGACCAAACTTGCATTATTGCAGTTGTGCCCTAGCTATTTTCTAGCCTTTCCTTTAGCTGTAGCAGCGTGTTCATCCATACATCTATCTAATGTTCCTCAGAAGATGCAACTAAATAAGAATGAATAGAGCTGAAAAAAGGTAAGCTGGTTTCTAACAAGGATCGTTTCTTAGTAAAGCAGTAAGGCATCTTTGAGGAATTTGATTATACCAAGCTAACATCCTTCACTCATCTGGTACTTGGAGAAAGGTGATCAGTGATCACTGTCATGTCAAGTGGAAACATGCATTCCCTTACCTTTTGCCTTGATTCTCAAGATTTCCTAGACTTATCTTTTAAATCACCAGTCCATCCATTTTTTGTCCTCAAGTAAAATGACCTTTCTGTCTGGAGAGACAGGAGTGAATGTGGAAGCTGCAAAATGTCATTAAATAACTGCAAAAGTCATGGCTTGTGCTTGTGAAGTTCAGATGCTTGCGCTTGGAGAAGTACACATGCTGCTTGTCTCCCAGATGATTCAAGTTCTCCATAGCTACTGAATTTTGGAAACTTTGTAGTCAGATTAGTCAAAGTCCGCACTTTGATAATTTTCTCTTTTTCAAGATACAGTATTAAATGCTCACATGTCTTTAGTTATTTAAAATGCAGTGTGGAAGAATGTGGGGGTTTTTCCAAGTGTCTCTTTGCCAATTGCCCCAAATAGACATGGAACAGAATGCAGCATTAGGTAGCTGTCCTCCGTGCAATTACTCCTCTGTAAACCAAAGCCTTCTGAGTCTGTTTCACTGGGCAGAATTTCCCATGTTCAGCTCAATATTGGGCATTCTGGTTCTATAATAATGGGGGGGTGGGATTCAACTTCAGTCAATTGCAGTCATTTCTAAGCACTGGCAAGCAGTTTCTTCATAAGGAGAGGTGCCCCATCTTAGTATGGAGCAGCCCAATAACTTTGGGCAAAAGTTTTTCAGTGGAGCTCTAAAATTTTGCTGTATCTATTCCCAAACGTTTGGCCTGGTGTTCTTTTGTCAGGATAACTCTAATTTTTCAAATTCCATGAAGTTTGATGACCAAAATTGAACTCTACAGAATCACTAGTTACTATTAACATTCTTGCCACTATGCCTAACCTTATCTAGATTGGCCTCATCGGCTCTAGTCATGCACTGTATCCAGCGGACAGTTAATGTAAAATGCAGAAATAATCCATGGTAATAGGAAGGAAGACCAGGACATCTTTCTTTTCCACCCTTTGTCCCCTTCACCTTATAGAAGCTGTTCGCAATGAAGCTGCAGCTTGTTCTGGTTAACGTGCTCGTATGTCTGATGCAGTTACTACTTCTCCATACGCAGGATGCAGGTTCACCAAGAAGGGGTAGAGAGTGTCCAATTGCCATGTGGCACAATGGTTAAAGGATTCTCCTGAAAGGTTGGAACTGAATGTTTGTGTTTTATAGCCTAAGGCCCTCTCGAGTGCTTTTAAAAAGGAAGGCTAAGTGAGGGAGGCTCTGTTCATGTCCTAGTCTTTGTAAAATTCATTTATTTTCAGAGTTTTCACTCAAAGAAAGGGTGCATATAGATGAATGCCTTTCCCCTGAAGTCTGATAATATCTTTGAGCAATGTGAAGCTATTTGTTCAGTGAAATTTCCCACAACAAATGTATTTTAAGGGTTCATTAATCCTCTCAATTAAAGAAAATATTATTGTTTACACCTCTGAAATATTAGAAAACCACCAGGCAGTTCTGTACATTAGGTATCTTCAGCTATGAGGAATATCAGGACAGACCGAGCACTGAAGTCATGCAAGTGAAGACTAAGGAATGCCAACAGCATGCTGTGTGTGGGCAGCTCCCATTACCCTCTGCCTCAGCTAAGCCTGGTTCTGCCTAGTGTTGTCAGTACCTTTCAAATATAAAAATTCAACAGATTTTCCTACCAGGTTTTGGCTTTGTTATTATTTTTCTGGAGAAAGGAAATAACACTAAGTTCCAAAGACCTACAGAAAATATTATGCAACCCAGTGAGACCCAAGTCACTTGTAATAAAATTTTTTGTATTTTTAAAAGCAGTGTAAACAGTAATGAAGTCTTGGATTGCCAACCAGCATGTTGCAATTACTGGAAGCTGAGGTGTTACAGATCTTAAAAAGTATGTCTGTGAAGTCCAGTAGACATAAATAGAGTACAGTATGATCTCATATCATCATGCAAGCAAACTTTCAATTCTGATTCTTCTCTTAGAAGTCCTTAAGGAAGAATTTGAGAGGGAAATAGAAGAAATGAGAGACAATTTATTGCCTACACATACTGGCTGGAGTATTTAAACATAAATTAAGGTCTGAAGAAACCAGTGGAAAAACAAGATCATGCTATGGCTCAAGCTGAACAACATGTGGTGTCATACTGTGCATTGTTGAGTGTTGGGCTTTCAAGTTCCCTTTTACAAAAGACATCAAATGTCTACCAGACTAGTAGTTCTGATGTGACATTCGTATGCAGTTCTTGTCCCTTTCCTTCTCTGAGTGCAATATTACTGTACATCTTCTGAGCTGTCTTTTTAATCTCCTCTTGCCATTATAAATGCTCATTTTAAATAATACACTGTGCTGAGAAATTAGGTTATATGACAGTCTTTTTTTTTTTTTGTTACTCACAATTTACAACATGAACAAAACATACCATTTTCTGTGCCTGTTTTTCAACTCTGCTAGATTTCACAAGGAGCATCCTCGAATGATTTACAGAAAAAAAAGAGGCGTGCTCCTCTTCCACCAGCGGCATCTGCTCCACCCACTCCTGCCATGCCAAACAGGACAGAAGAAAGGGAAGACAAGAGGAAGAGCACAATAGGTGAGAGACGTTCTTTTCTCTTGTGCAATCCTGCGCATGTGCTTTCAGTGTTCCCTGTTCAAAGTTTCCTTAATTCTGCTAAGCTGTGAGTTCAGAAACTTCTGTAACTTGGGAAAAAAAAAGCACTTCTCTGCAGAATGAAAGTCTGGAAATAAGTGTTTGTTACCTTTTTTTTTAACGGCACCATTCAGAGTACCATGGGGTAGTAAAAGCTAGAAAACACTTATCAGATGATTTGAATGTTTGGTACAAGCTGGATATCCAAAAGCACTAGCCCGGGGACTATTCTGAGCCTTTAAGATCATAGTGGTTTTGCTAGTAAATGGAAATACAGAAATGGTAAATGGAAATGCTAGTAAATGGAGATAGGCCAGGCAATACTGAATGCATTTGAAGCCACGGGGTTCTGATAGAACTGAAGTACAGTCAAGCTGGTTCAATATCATGTTCCTGAAGCCTGATGAAGACCATTTTCTTTTCTCGTAGTCCTCCAACAGTTTGACATCAACTGACCGTATTCAGCAAAGTTTTTCTTTTGAATTTAGTCCTCAGATTTATTGTAAACCAATCTCTGCTGAGTCTTTAGCTAATCAGTAGAACAGAACTGGTGCTCTCGAAGGGGTGCTCTGCATAGCTGGACACAACAAAAGCCTTTAGCTGTATGTGGCACCACATTTACTCTCATACAGAAAGACTGAAAAACATTCTCCCAGACCTCTGTTGTTATCTGACTGCTAGCTTGTTCAGATCAGTGGGAGCTTTGCCCAAGTGAGGACCCCAAGATTATGCTTTTAGCAAACAAAGTGATTTTATGATGGGTAAAGATATGAGATAATAACCCCACATATTGGAACTAATTTTTCAGTACATTAAGAGAATCATTCTTCAAGTGCCATAATGCACTCAGTGCACTTCAGTTCATGCCTTTGACCTCATGTTTCATAAAGTGCCTAAGACATACAGATATGACATCCTGTCATACATAATTGCTTACATTACAACTGCCTCACAGTTTAGCAAGAAGCCTCTTGGCTTTGTTCCAACATTTATTTTCAGTAAATGCTTCACATTTAATGCCTCAGCATTTATGTAGCAGCAGGAGTCCATTATCTTGTGACATGTACAACTCCATTGACATCTCTTATTTAAATCCTCTAAGGAGAATGTTCTCATTGTGCCATATAACACAGGAGTTTTCAGCAAATTGGCTTACTTTTAGCCATTGTGGATGTCACAGTCTGTTGCTCCTTATGCTTTGCCCTACTGCTGGTCACTTACAGATGATGACATTTGGTGCTTTAACTTTTTGTAAGTGTTCATTTTATTTTGTATGAGTGCTCAGAACGTTACAGATGAAATAAAGCAGAGCAGAGCCACTTCTAGTCTGTTCAGTACTGTGTATATAAGTGCTTGCTGGCCAGACTCTGCTGATGTAAGATTCTGTAGTATCGTTTACTTTAATGGAGCCTTATTATTTTACACCGACAAAGAACTTGTCCCACAGTAGCCATATCTTCAGTGTTTTTCATTTTCTGCTACTTTCTTGAATGAATGCATTCATTAACAAGAAAAAATGTTACATCAAGGGAAGGTTGGTAAAACAGCCTCTCTTCTTGCAAGGGCCCTTGCAAGAAAACGATGAGAAAGCACAGATGGCTCCGAAATCAAGAGAGAAAAGCTGTGAAAAAAGCAAGACTGTAGTGAGGGGAAAAACGTGCTGCAAGAAATAGGCAGCCACATGATGGAAAAAGGATTAAAGCTACCTATATATCTCCCAAGTTAGCCACATGAATCAAAGCAAAAGATTCTATCAAAAATATTCTCAAGCTGGCTAATTCACTTCAGTTTTCAATACTGAATCACTTACTGTGACCCCAAGGTACTGTGCTTATTTTTCTCAAAGCAATAAAAAAGGGTCTGCACGTTTGCCAGCATTAAACTGTGTCTTGAATCCCTGGAAACTAGTGACTCCTAAGTAGAAAACCATAAAGGTTTAACCTTTTTTCCTCCCTCTCAGTGCTGCTTCCCTTCTCATCATCACCAGACCACGAGCCTAAGAGTATAGGAATGATCAGAACATATCAGACCAGAGGTCCATCTCTACCAGCATCTATCTTCAGCTGTGACTACAGCAGATGCTTAAGGCATGGTTTCTCAGTGCTCTTGCAGCGTCTAAGGACTTTCCAAATTGGCAGTAGTTCTAGATCTTTACACTACAGGCTGTCAGCAGCTTTTTAACGTTGCAAGTGGTTAACGGAGTATAGTGCAAAGGTGCATGTATTTATTTAGTTATTGCACATAGTATTGAAATGAGCCACAAGCCAAAGTTATGAGCATTTCCTCTGATAGCTTAAAACACTGTTTTGCAAAAAAAAAACCCTTAATCATCTTCTTCTCCACAATGTCAAAATAATAATAAACCTACTCAGAAAAAGAAAAGAAAAACCTGTCAAGATACCTACTTCAGAATGCTGACCTGAGGCATCTTCCTCTTTCTCTCAGTCTTGGGAAAATAGTCATGCAAAGTATCCTAGAGGTCAACAGATTCAGGCAGTTCAGCATTAAGGAGGTAAAACTAAAACATACTTTTCCCATTTGCTTGCATAGTTTTTTTCAGTTTGTTTTTTTTATTAAACTTTGTTTCTCCTTCCTTATGTCTGCCAAAACTGGTGATTTTAAGTGTTAGCCATGATGTACATGGATGTGCTGGGCTGAACTCTGGTCCCATTGCTGTTAGTTTAAGAAAGACCTAGCTTTTCCTTCTCCCTTAAGTATTTAGGTGAAAATAAGAGTAGAATTAGATCCAGAGAGACTCTGGATGTGGGTAAGGGAAAATCAATGTGTGTTTAAAAAATAACAATAAAGAGAGCGATCTTTATCTTGCAATGAAGTAACTAGTCGATTGATCCCCCTGTAGGTGATGGACGGCAGGTGCCACAAAAGCCTCCTAGAGGCACCCCTCGTGGTCCACCCCAGTTAGTGATCCCCCCACCCCCACCTTACCCTCCTCCTGACAGAGACATTGTGGATCCAACAGTCTGTTACAGAGAAGCAGATGTTACAGGACCAACAGAGCTGGTACCTAAACGTACGTTTGATAATACATGTATTTGCATTTCCAGTCTTTTGATGGTTACTCTCAGGGGTAGCTTTTCCAGACTTTCCTCTCTGCTCTCTAGGCGTACATGTCTGTTTTTTTGCTTTTCTCCAGCCTGTTGTCTTTTAAAATGCCCAATGCAGTGTAACTAAATAATATAAAGTAAACAAAACACTCGTTTGGAGATGGTTTTGTGGATGATCCCTGACCACTGTATGGAAGCATTTAAAAACAGCCATCAAACCTTGTGACTTTATGCAGCTGGAAGCAAAAATCTGTTGCCTTGTATTAATTCTCCATGTTTGTTTTTCTGTGCTAACATTTTTTCTGTCTCTCCAGAGATTAGTTCCTTTGAGAGTCAACAGGTCTATCAGTCTAGGTTGAAAACTACAGCATGTCTCCCTTGGGGAAATCGAACCATTGACAGGAGCTGTATATTGTTAAAGGCCTTCCTGACCCAGTGGGTACATCTTCCTTGCCACCTCTGGGTACTCCTTTGTGTGCTGTTCCCCTTTGGGGCATAACAGTTGTCAGTCAAAGAAATACGGTATTTTCCACATCTTTGTGTATTTGTGAAAAGCATGTTATTATGCTACTTTTTCGGGCTTATCCATCAACTGTCTTTAAATCTTTGTACACAATCCAACTCTTTGATCGTGTATTACGTTCCCTGTGGGCTAGCCCTGCACACCCATGTAGATCCTGTGAAGGCAGCAAAGCCCTGCACGTTATGGCATCTCACAGGCACAGTTTCTCTGAAGGTTAGGAGGGTGTCGCCTAACCATGGGGTAGAGAAATGTCTCCATTAGCTGCTAATTGGACAAAACATCTTTCTTCGGGACATTTTGTTCACCAAAATTATTCCGGAGGTAACAGTTTCTCTGATAACAGTAATGTTGGTGTGTTTGCTGTTGGATACCAGCTAAATCTAAAGGATTATTTTTCAAGTCTGTGCTGAGGAAATACAGATTGACAAATTTTATTTGGGGGGAGAGAAGGAAAATAAGGAAATACATTCTAACAGAAAACCTGAATCTTTCTTAGGATTAACCCCATCTTATTTTTACCAGCATATGCACAGAAATCATATCATACTTAAAATATTTTTTTTTTGCTAGATACCATCAGCTTGCTTACAATGTTTTCTTTATTAAAAATCCATTGTAGCCTTCTTTGCATTAATATTTCTGCTTCATTTGAGTTTCTACCACTGTTATTTTGCAATGCTTTCCTGATCTAACTTGGTGATCAAATACCCTTTAATCAATGCAGTTCTGATTTTATCAGCCTGATCATTTGCTCTTAAACAAACACAATATCCCAGCCAAAATGATTTGATTAAGCTCATACGTGGAAACATAACATGAGCTTTTATAATTCGTAGTTTACTGAGAGAAAAAGAATAGTGCTTAGTGGGTACTTACTTTAGATTTAAAGCATCAGTGCTGGAGAGGGACAAGTTTAGCTTTATAATTATGTTGTGCTCTACCTAGATAAAGATATGTGTATCAATGTACACAGGAGAAATGTGTATAGAGGTACCCATGAGAGAAAGCAGCACGTATGATAGATGTTGATTATATTCCCTAATGCCATTCTGAAAGGTGCTTAGATACTGTAGCAGATGAGTGGTATAAGAGCAGAGTTTTGCAATGATGTTTTTTATTGCCTGAGAATGCCTCAAGCAGTGCAAGTAGGGTTTGGCGGTAGATTCAAAGAACAGAATTTTCAATCTTTCTAACTCTAACCTCAGTAAATGTGTTTTCTCATAGAACTAGGTGCAAAGGAGGATAAGCTACTGATGCCAGCTATTGATGAAAGACTATTTGTTCTGAAATAACTCTCAAAACAGCTTTCTCTGTTGGGGATTGTGGTCTTCCTTTGCTGAGTGGGTGACTGTCAG